CGTGCCACTTTACCAGCTTCCGTCGATGATTAAGCAGTTCGCTGCACTTTTACATAACAATTTTCAACGGCCATGCCCCTCCCCTTCGTCCACGCTTCATCACCGTCGGCGTCATGTTTAACGAAGGTCGCTACGGAGGATGGATGAAAATTATCGCGCGAAATTGCGCGAGCGCAGATGCTCGCCCATTTATTTTCAGAGAAATACGGTTCGCTCGCGCGATTTGCCTCGCGAAGCCTACATTCCAAATCCAAAAAAGTCGCTCGACAATTGCCTCCCGAACTTTGCCCGACAAAGGAAGCTTCATTTAACCCGCGAGCAGGAACAAAAGCAACCAAACATCGCGTCCCGATGCTGGCAAGAAGCAGCCGCGCATCCATCATCAGATTCGGGGATGCTATCTCGCTCGGAAACTAGGTTGAAAACTTGGAAATTATGATGTACGAGGCGGCGGCCGGAGAGACTCGTAATGAGCTATCTGGGGTAATTAAGGCGGCGCTCCCCCGGGGTTTTCCAGCCGCGCGCGCGCGTTCGCTCGTGTGCGCGGCTCGGGGCGCTGAGCAATTCGTCGATAATGGCACCGCGGCAATGGAGATACTCTCGTCGTGTCCCGATGCCGCCGAATGACGGAGCAGCGCGCGATGTCGTTATTTCGTTGCTCGGCCCGGCGGAAATGCCCTCGAGCGTCGCGACGTCCTCAAAATCTGGACGAGTACAATTGGACGCAAAGCGACAGCAGGCGTCGCCGAGTCAGTCTCCAAGTCGGTCCCCCGGGTGAAGATGTGGACGCGGGACAAAATAAAAATTGAGACAGTCGCAGACTGCGGGTCAAATATCTCGCTGGGCATATAATTGAAAATGAAATGAGAAAAGGCAATGTCGGAGGGGCTCTCTCTCTCTCTCTCAAAAAAAAAAAATGATTCAAGAAGACGTTACGTGAGGCTTTTTTGATGCGGCAGCCTGGAAAAGTAATGCGGCCGTGCCCCGGCTCTGCCAACAACGAAATTGAACTTTCGGGGCAATTTAATATTTCTGCCGGCGTTGCGAAAGTCTCTCGCTCCTCGAGATCTGTCCGCCTTATCGCTATATCGCTCAGCCCCCTCGCCCCTTGCCTTCGCTTCGTCTCTTTACGCTTCCTCTCTTTCAATTTGTATATACGCAATTCGCGAGCAAGCAAAACACCGCGAGAGACGTCCGCGAGAGCTCCCTTTTGATATTTGCCCCTCGTAAGCTCCGCCGAAAATCCGAGCAAAACTGCAGGCCACGCGCGCGCGACTCTTCGCCCCCCGCCTCTCGAGCTGAGCAGCGACTCCTTAATATTTCCTTGGCGTGCGGCTCCACTCTTTAAGCTGCCTCTCCAAAAGGGCTTTGATTATTTCTCGAGCTTTATTGCCTTCGCCTTTGTGGACGGCGCTTCGGGAATGCGCCGTGTCTTTCGCGAATTGCGCCGTTTCCTTAATTAAATCCCGACCTTTTTACTCGCGTCCGTGCGGCGCTCCCCTCCCCGCGCGCGCGCGCGCAGGACCCGCGAAATTTCGTCTCGGAAACTCCGGCGCCCGCACCCCTGCCTCCGACAAGCGCCGCGTGCCCGTCCGCCGGCGACAAGCGACATTCCGCGTGTCGCGCGCCCGAGCGAGCAAATAATAGCCGAACTCGGTCGGCGTGTCCGCGCGCGGGCCGACGATCGCCGGGCGATTGCGTGCGACGCGCGCTCAAAAGCGCAGAATAAAGCCGAGAGAGGAGACCGCGGCGAATCCCGAGCGCTCGCTCTCTCTCTCTCTCTCTCTCTATCGCGCGCGCACGGGGCCGCCCCGTAGAAAATTATAGGGGTAGGTTGCTTTCGCGGCGCCCCGGCGCCGAGCTAATCCCAGCGTATAATTAACCGCGCCGAGCTCCAAAGGGGCATCTATCTTGTCTCCGGCCTGGTGTGTTTCTATCTCTGCCGATTTATTTCTGGGTGCCGCGGTAACATCCTATTACCTGCCCCCTTCCCCGCCTAACCGCCTTTTCCCCTCGACGAATTACGAGGGTGAAGCTTCCTTTTTTCATTGATTGTTACCTACTTCTTTCGCTCGTGGTAGCTGGCGTATTTGCCGCTTCGTTATTTTTCCTTCGTTGTTTTATGGCCAAAGGGCGTGAAATATTATTACCCTCCTTTCCTGTCTCGATAGAAAATACGTCAAGCGAATTTTGCGCTATACTTTCATGGAACTGTCCTTGTTTATTGCGAATTGCGAGCACGATCGCTTCAGCCCCCCCCCCCCCTAACAAAAAAGTAAAATAGAAAAGTACAGCCGGTGTTGCCCGGGCACTTGAGCCGCAACGTCGTTAGGAAACTCGCCGAAAAAAATGCGAGTCAAGTGCGAAAAGCGCTAACACAGGTGCGCGCGAGCCTGGAGGTTGTTTTCTTTTTCTATTTTTTTTTTCCTTCCTCGCCGAGAGGCAGGCAGCGGAGCTTCGTCGAGAGATACGTGCACAAGTGTCTTCTCTTCGCTCTGCCATTTTCATGCGATATTTTTCTTTCTCTTTCTCCGGCACGGTGTCTCCATTGTTGGGAACCGAACGCGGATTTAACGTGTACGCGACGGTCCGCCGGAAATATTACGTGTTTTTTTTTTTTTTTTTCTTTCCTCGCGAAATATTCTGCGGATACGCTCGTAATCGCGCGCGCGCTAGCGATGTAGACGTTCCTTCCCTAGTGGCTTCGTCAATAAGCTTCGAATCCGTATTTTCTCTTGCGTCGGATGACGAAGAGAAAAGAAACAAAACTCGACGAGAAAGCCGCGGCTCGGAAAGTCCCTACTGCCAAAATTTCCGACCACAAGGAAAAAAAATTAGGAGGAGAGGGGAGGCCACTAATCCTAATCCCGAAGCGCTGCGCGCGATGCACTAACGATTTTCGCGGCCAACCGGGTTTGTTGAGATAAGCCGTTGAATAATCGAGACGCGAGCGAGCCAAATATCGGAGGCGTCGACGAAGCGTGCAGCGGCGATTAACGAGCCTCGACGCTCTCGCGGCTCTTGATTTAAGGCCGTCAGAATATTGCGCAGTTAGCGCACCGGAAGAGAAAAGAAAAGACGAACCCGCGAGCCTGCTGCCGCCAGCTCGACTCGCCCGACTTTAGGCCGCGCGCGCGTGCGCTGCCTCGGCCGTGGAAAATCACAACGAGGTCAAGCGTGCGTTAGACGAAGAGAAACTTTCGATAAAATAACAGAAAATAAAAAAATAAAAATAATAAAAAAGTGCTCAACAGGTTGGCTTGCGAACGTTAACGACTTTTCGCGCGGGACTCTCGAACTAAAAGCGCGGCGTCATTAAATTTTCTCATTATTCCGTTGCGCGCGAAAAAGGGACTCTGAATATTTCACGCGATTACGCGAGACGAGGACGAAAATTGAAGTCTGTTACATTATACGGCACGGCAATATCGGATAGGCGTATAAAAAAAGAAAATGGATCGTCATTCCATGACAATCATCGCAGTTGATTAAGAGTTTTAAAAGCGCGGCGCGATCGCTGCACCATCAGCGACGCGCGCAGTTCCCCTTTATTTCTCGCCAACTTAAATTGCCTCATCAATTGTCGGGCTTTTACGGAGTAGTCGAGGAATTTTATCGGCGCGCGCGCCCATCGAAAGATGCGCCGTTTATCTGGAATTCCGCGGGGGCTGTTGCGGATAATTTTACGAGCGAACTTTTCACTTTTTCGGAGTCTTTTGCGTCGGGGCCCCGCGCGCCGCCGCCTCGCGCCCCGGATTCTCCGGGCGCGGCGGAGCAAAGTTGTAAAATCGACGTCTCGCTCGCGAATGCTGAAAATGCCATTGTTCGAAGCCGACGCGCGCTTAATTTCGCGGAAGCAAAGGGCACGTCGTAAATCCTCGCGTCGGGAAAATCCCATTCGACTCGCCCTCCCCGTCGGCGTGGACAAAAAAGGAGAGCCCATTAAAAATATTTTCGCGCCTAATGATGAATAATGAAAGGTAATTGCCACAACACAGAGGAAAAACTCGGGCGGCGCGCGAGAAGGGAAAAAATTCCTGCGCGCGCGGGCCACCGAGGAAGGCAGACGCAAAAGAGAAAAAAAAAAGAAGAAAAAAAAAGAAAAAAACAAAGGCAGCTGGCAGAGAGTTCATAAAGGGAAGAAAAATCGTAGAGCAACGGGCGACGGCAGAAAAAAAGGCAGCGTGCTCGGGCATAAAACAATGTCAAACATGCGCCGTTCAATTAAGCTGTTAATAATGCAACGCTGGAAAGAGGAACGCGCGAACAATATGTTGGCGTGCGCGTGCGCGGGATGAAAAATAAAGCGCCGGTTAATTGGGAATTTGCTGTGGGGTGAAGCAAAAGTGGATTTCGCTTTGGAAATGGAGTTTCGCTTTGTTTCCTTTCTCTTGGCTAACTGCTGTAAGGATTTATTTGCGAGGGTTAATTAATTTTGATACGCTGATTGGATTAACTATGACGTGTACAACCACGTCGCTCCATTATTATTATCATTGTTATCGAGTAATCCGATAATAAACATTTGCATTTATTGCTATTATTAATTACGCGAGAAACGCGATTTCCAGCTGAATTAATTTACAATGCGACAGATTATTGGAATATGTAACTAGTATCGGCCGCGTACGAAACTTGAGACTCTTACTCTCGCGAACAATCGTTTAGTCGGTGACATTCGTCAAACTTGAGGTCAACTGCTATTCGAAATTCAATTTCAGTTTACCAACACACTCATTCTCTCTCTGTCTCTGTCTCTCTCTCTCTCTCTCTATGTTTCCCTGTGACGTATTTTAATTAAAATTTTCTTAATTAGAACTGGCCACAGGCAGACCAACAAAATAGTACAGGCCAAATAATTTTGACGGGTTGGTTGGAACATTAAACGCTTGTTCCGCGGCCAACGTCGAAGTATCCAACAAATGACGTGTCTAAAATTCCATTTTGCTATCCGTTAATTGGAATATTTCATTCATAATTGCTCATTTTTTCTGTTTCAGATTGGACACCAAGAAATTTGAGCTCATCAACGTAAGTGTAATGCTTTTGACAATATTAATTCTTTCCATACTGCAGAAAAATTTAAGAGTCGAGCAACGCGAATTACGGTTTTGAAGAACTGTTTTAAAACAATGTAAACATTTTTTATTGCGAAAAAATGTATATCGTCCAGTCAATTGTTACCTTATTTTAATCTTTTCAGTTTCACAATGAGTACGTTAATTGATTTTCACTGTAAAGATTTTTTGGATCGATAAATACGAACATGAAATTAGATCTTGAAAATTGTAATTTTGTAAAGATTGTCGGATCGAGACCCAACATACATTGGTTCCGCCATATTTATTTCGCAAATCACTCAAAACTTTAATATTGAAAATAGTACGAAAGTTAAATTGAATTATAGAGAAATATATTTTTATGAAAGCTTTTACATTGAAAAATGGATTATTTTTTAATCATTAAGATCGCCACATTCGATCCGTTATTAAACATCTGCGTAGTTCGTGTGGCATTAGCTTTAAATTGGCTGATATTCAATGAATGCCAAGCATTTTCATTTTCGTCATACATTTGTAATGGAATTTCGTTGGCAATAAATTCCATTCTCAAAAACACGTTTATGAAATATCTCGATCATGCTAAACTTCAAGATTATAGAATTCTTGATAGTATTCGACAAAGAGTCAAAAGAATATGTTGTCGATATATAAGAGACTCTGCTGACTGAAAGGGTTAAAAAGATCATTTACTGAATCAAGAAATTTACTTTCAAAACGGGAAGTAGTTACTAGTTTCAGGAAACATTTCCACTCGCAGTAAAAATTAAGCGCGCTCAAATCGCATTATCGCATAAAAATATTCGCAATCGCCGTTCCCAATTAAAAAACAAAAATCGGAAAAATCTTCGATCCCCAGCTCTTTTCCTGTCGATCAATAGCGTTAAACGAACGCACAAAAGAAGGGGGGGGTGGAGAGGGGGAAAAAAAGAGCGCGCAGCCCGCGTGCGGCCAAACCGCGCGCTAACGAGCGGAAATCCACTTGAAAATGCACGCGTGCTGCTGACGATTGATAATGCATCGTGCAAACACCTCACTGAATCATCGCGCCCGATCCTTTGATAGGATAATTGCGCTGATGCGTGCTGAGCTTTTGATGCCTTTTTTTTTTAATGCAAACTCAGCGGAAATATTGCGCTTAACCTTTTTCTCGTTGAATGAGTGATAACAGTGACTTTTTCGACGGAGATTAAGAGATAAAAACCCTCAACGGTTGGTCGAGGGTTCAATTATCGAGTTGTTTGACGTGTAAAGGTACGCACTTACAATAATTGCTTGCTATGAATTGATCCCAGTGAGTTTCATTTCCGCTTCGTCGAGTGATTTTTGAAATCCTAACATTTCGAATAACGCGCGCATTTCCAATTTGAATCTTCCCGAGATCCCGTTAAAAATAAAAATGCGGGCCCGTCTGCTTCTATTCTAGATATTTCGGTTTTCTCATCATGAATAATGTCGTCTACGCTTTACGTGCAGTGTTTTTGACCTCGCGGAAATCCAATAAAAGAACGATCGAACAAAGCAACATCGCGTTTGTCACTTTTTCGAAGCTACGCAATTCGAGTTAACGATTATTGAGAGGGAAAACGCAACGCTATCCCCTATTGTTTCGTCCGTATTCAACGAAGAGCTCTTCAACCACGCCGTTGTAATGAAAAACAAAACAAAATAAAGTGATTCGCGAACGAACGCGGCGCCAAAATGAATAAAGTGGATGGAAAGCTCGCTGGCGATGATCCTCGTTCACGCCCAATGAGGGCGAAACGACGACTCGGTCACCGCAAAAAGTGCGAGCAAAGCAGAGCCTGACGAGGAGGAGGTAAGACGTCGTAAAACCGCGACCACGTTGCGTTCGGTCACCGCCTTCTTTCGGGAGGAAAGAAAAAAAAATACGTTCAACCGCCACGACGTACTAATTGTCGACTTCAAAGAAGCCACAGCGGCTTTACTTTCCCGCGGGAAAGCCGTTCTCGCTTTCGGGCCCTTTTGAGGGGGCAAACCGCCGCTCCCTTCCGCGGAAGGGAAAAAAGGAGTCGGTCTGGCGAGAAGTCTCGAGCGATCTTATTAAATTTCCCGTGCCGCGTTGCGACGCAGGCAGACTATTTTTTTCTTTTGCTTTTTCATTCTTTTTTTTTTGGCGTTGTAATTTTTCCGCCAGCCCGTGGCGACGGCGGTCCTCCGGCGGTTATTATCGTCGCAAGGAACGGCGGAAGAGGAGCAATTTGGCTGTCTCGTCCGCTCGAACGTCACGGTAATCGCGTCAATGTCTTCGCGGAGGCACAAGCGCTCGGCCAAATTTTTAATGACGCGCGACGAGACAGCGTCGAGAATCGCTGCCCTCGGGGCACAGCCAAGCGCAGCGACTGGCGCTTCGGCATCGATTGTTCGCCCGAGCGTGGTGGCAGCAGCCCCCCCCCCCCTCCGCCGCCCTGCAGTCGCCGCGACGATTTGTGCGTATACAACTGCGCGCGTTATTTGTTGAGAGCACTCGAGAGCCTAATCGAGCGACCTCGCCGTGTGAAGTGAAGATCAGTCGTTCCCGCGGACGAGAGCTTCGCCGGCTCCGTCAAGCTGGATTGCAGTCTCCGAGAGAGAGAGAGAGAGAGAGAGAGAGAGAGAGATTGACGCCATTGCGCATACGAAAAGTTGTTTGCTCAATGAACTCTGCATCGGGGCAACCTTTTTCTCCTCCGACAACGACACCTCGTATGCGCGTCTTGTATCGACACATATAGAAAAATGAGCGACGTGTGTCTGATAGCAGCATGAAATTTCGACGCCCACTCGAACGAGAGACGGCGGCAAGGGGGGCATGGAGAGGGGTAAATATCGCGTTGGCGAAACAATGCACGTTTATCGCGCTCGCTTGCCTTTGCCGATAGCTGGTGCGCGTGGCGCCCAAGCAAGAATAAGTTTTCCGTGACGGATGTGCGTTTATCTTGTCTGTCTCTCGTTCTCCCCGGGAGAGAAGTTAGGCTTCCTCTCTCTGTCTGTCTGTCTGTCTGTCTGTCTGTCTGTCTCTCTCCCTCTCTCGCCGATATGCTCCGTGGATATCGCAGCGCGATATCGCCCTCTCGAGTGTACGCGTCTTTGCACGTGCTCGTGTTTTATGCACAGTTTTTTGTCGGCGCGGGTACACACGACGAAGAGCTTCTGAGTGCTTTTCTTTCGCGCCCGCGCGCGACGGAGGGAGAGAGAGAGCGAGCGGCACGGTGTCAAAATGCCTTGCTCGCGTTTGCGCGGCAGGATGATTTTTACATTCGTATTCAGCGTTGAAAGGTGAACGTTTGGAGCTTCTCCGCCTAGGAAACGAAAAAAATATCTTCGCTGCTAATGGAATCCTGCCTCTCTTTTTTTCAATTGGGTTATTGCGTGCGACTGCGAACATGCGTGGATTATATTAACGCGAAGATTTGCGAAATACACATGAAAAAAAAAGCAAAATTTTTTTAAAATTTACAAGATAAAGCGAAGTATCACAAAACCGCATGAATCGTAAAGGTTTGCCTAAGTTGCAAAAAAAGTTCGATATATTGCATATTTATACAGTTATTTTACATTAGAATTTTCACGGCTTTCAAGTTCTTTGCGTTTTAACCATTTACATTTCATTGTAAAAAGAGAAGCGTATCCTTGCTGTAGAAATAAATAAATATATATATATATATATTTTTTTGTTACAAATATCACATTGAAAAAGTGTACAAGCGCATTCCATTATCCGTTAAACTCTGCAAACGAAGCTCAAAGCACTCGAAAAAAGAAAACCAATTCAGTGGTCAGTTCAGCAAGCTTTCGACCCTCCCTCCCTCACCAGTTGTATTATACATTTCATTGGCGTAACGTGAATGATAGTTCGCTCGCGTATATGTATGTATATATATAAATATACATATATACACGTAATGTGCACGAGTACAATTGCGGCGGGTAAATTGGCACTCTCAAGGGAGATAGAGCAACTCGTTGTTACGGTCGAGCGAGCAATTGCGATTAGTTTTCAATCGATGACGCGGGTCGATGCGCATTCAAGCTAAAAAATTTGCAAAAATCACGAACGCGAATGCGCCCGCGATTACATATATTTCTGCGGGTAATTTCCTTTCGCTGCGACGATTTTGTTGCCGCGCGCCGTTTATCTCCGCCGCGCGAGAGACAAAGCCTCTCCAATCTTATACCCCTCCAAAAGACCAGATAGAGGGTTAGACCGCTATTATTAGGAGGTGCCAGGGGGAAGGGGTTTCTCGGGTCTAAAGCTCCTCTTTGAGAGGCGATTCTGTACTTTGAAGAGAGATTAGCTTGACACATGGCTGCTGCATTCTCGTCGAGCAAAAAGTTTTTTGACGCCGATGAAAATTGCAGGCTTTCCTTTTCTTTCTCCTCGAGCGATGCATCCAGCCGAGAGCTTCTCTGGGTCTGCGCCAGCCGATGAAATCTTTCCCGGGGAAACTATTCGCGAAATCCCAATCAGGTAGGTCCCGAATGAATGGAGCCAATCGAAAAAAAAAGTTTGGAGCGCGCCCGCTTCGGACAGATTAAACGGACCCCCCGGTGAAAACTCGGCGCGACACTCCGCGGCGAGATGGACGCCCGCCGAAAAGTCAAACAGTCCAAAAGAAGCGAGGTATTAGACGCATCGCCTCTCCCCGCCGAGCCAACAAACTTAGCCCGCGAGAAAGGAAGCAGTGAGAAGAAAGCCGAGGGTCCGGAAAGCCTTAGCCCCTCAAATTACTTAACTTCCGGGAGTGAGAGGGACAGTGCTACACTCGTCCTAGGCGTCATGAATAAAACGCTAGTTATCGAGATCGTAAATCCCCTCGCGGTGGGCTGCTTGATTTATTCGAAAACTTGGCCGTTTCTCCCTCCCTCTCTCTCTCTCTCTCTCTCTCTCTCTCTCTTTCCACCTCACTTTCAACCGCTCGATCTATCATATTTCTTTTTTTCGGCCTACTCTCGCTTCATTTTCCAGCCGCGCGATCGTGCTCCCGGCGCATCTCTATTTCAATTCCATTCCCAGCTCAACTTCTATGATATACTCCTCCCGGCCTTCGCCGTTTTTTTCTTACGAGGGGCTCGCTCCGTTGCGCGCGGTCAACCGAAATTTCTTCGGTTCCGCTGCGCTCCATCGGAAAACTTTCTCGAATCGAGGACCTTGTTTTTCTTTTCTTTTTTTTCTCTCCCGCCTGAATGCTTTTGACTCGAGAAAGAGACTCCGCAAATTAAATTTATTGTGTTACGTCGTGAATGTATTTCCGTAATCGTTCTAAAAAATAAGACAGCCGGCAAAACTCATCGGCAGTAATACTTACGAAAAAAGAACGTTCATAATTAAAAATTTGTCGAGAAAACTTGAGAATGATTTCCATGAATTTCTTCATGAAAGTTTGCCGCATGGGCATTTCACGGGCTAATCCTTAGCCATGATGTGTCTTTGAATGTTCGATTGATCGTCAATGATTTTCGGAAGAAGATTCGACCCATATTTATTTTTACGCGTGGTAAACTTTTTATCAGTCTCAATAAGCCTCGACGCTCTCGACTCATTACCCGAAAAAAATTACGAAGGGGTCCGCTAGAATTACGCAATCTCTACAGCAGTCCACTCTCGCGTTCTATATCTTTTAGCTGAAATATGACTTTCCCCCGCCGTTAAAATATCGTCCGAAAGATCATACTCGAGTAGTACAATAAAAAACGAGAAGCCAAAGTGGTTCGCGTGACTCTTTATCAATAGCCGAGGCGAGAATAAGGATAAGGCTGTTATTCCGAGAGCAGCGTAAAAAGAGCCGAGGCTCATTTATTTTTCAATTTTCGGCCGAAAAGAAAACAAAAATCTCGAGCGAAAGGGAGACGCGGCAAACTGTTTTTCTCTCTATCGCGTGCGGGAAATCTCGAGGAAGCTCCGAAACTCGGCGGCGGCAAGACTTTTAAGTTTTTTTTTCTTTCCAGAACACCATTTTACCGGAAGCCGTACACTTCTGGAGAGAGCCTTGATGGTGCGAGAAACCAAGGGAACCATACGACTCAATCGGTAAGTAAAAAAACTGGCGAAGCCGCCCAAACGCGTGCCGAAGTTACGCTGCCGGTCGTCGTCGTGCTTGCCTCGGTGAACCAGCCCGGGTACGTCGTTAGGGTCTGTCGACCTAACGATCCGAATGTTCCGTCATAATTGATGTTTGCTGTCGAACCCCGAGCGCGTAAAACTTGAGCGCTCATATCCGTCTTCCCAATCGCGGCAATTTCCCCGACACTCCAAAGTAAATTGCAATGTCCGACGACCACGACAATAACAACAATAACAACAACAACAACAACAACAACAATAACAATCGTTACGTCGCGGGGCAAAACCTCGGGAGTACAGCTCGCGTCAAAGAAACATCGGGCTGGCGGAAGGGTGTTCAGAAGCGGCTGACTTGACCGAGAAGTAGTACGAGTCGACGCTCGGTCGGCCGCGATGATTGCCGATCCGAGAAGCCGGGCCGCAAAAAAACGGAGCCGTACGAAGTGCGATTACCGATTCCGTCGCGCGACGCCGGCAGTTTATCTTGCCTCGCAATTTGCCGAAATTCGTCGAAGAACGAGAACGCCGCGCGCAGACACGCGACGTACGTTACCACGGGCGGGGCGGGGATGGGGAAGGAGGTCGAGTCACGGAAAGTTGCCGCCGCGCCCGTGCCGGGGGCTAATTATGATTAGCATAAGCCCGTTGTTGCTTTTTGCTGGAAAGCCTTGTCGTGGCCCTACGCGATTTGCGCTCTCGTCAACACATTCAACGGCCGCGAGGCGCGCTCACGCGATACATTCTCTCTGAATGCCGCGCGTCCGTAACATTGCCGAAGTGCTTCATTCTTTATTTTTATTTATTTTTTTATTTTCCCCTCTCATCTCGCGGTAATGTACTGCGCGAATTCTCGGCCAGCGAATTCCGCGTCGGCTGAGGAATTTCATCATTGAAACAATCTTCGTAAAGTCAACTAATAAGAAGAAAAGGAAAAAGTGGGACGGCGCGAGAGAGATCAATTATACACTTCGGTGTTGGGGTCGTTTCGCACAATATTTGCTAATCAAAATCATCATCACCGAGAGAGAGAGAGAGAGAGAGAGAGAGAGAGAGAGAGAGAGAGAGAGAGAGGGAGAGAGAGAGAGAGAGAGTAAACAAACGAAGGTAGGCGAAGAGTATCGCTTCTAAAGAGAGAGAAACTGAAAACGGAGGAGCGTTGGTTAGATTTCTCTCTTGGCGCAGTGAGTCATCAGCGCATGGGTAAACACTGCCGCATCGAGAAACTGAAATTAATGCGCATCAGACCGCAACAAACACACACACAATCTCCCTCTCTCTCTCTCTCTCTTTCTCACTCGATGTTTGCTTTTGCGGTTGTCCTCGTCTGTTTACGTACACCAGAAAGCTTCTTCTTTTTGTCGTTCTTGTTAAATAATTCACCGTTCAAAAAGTAGCTGTTTGACAATTTTAGTACACACGTGCGGAATAAATCTCATTTTCGAAGATGAGAGTACTCCCTTTTCTCTCTCTCATTCTCTAATCACGCGTGAGGCGAATAAGGTTTGTGGATAATTTGTTTCGCTTCCGTTTACAGATTTTACCACCGTACGTAGTGATGAAAGATAGGGGGAATGCATTCTTTTTTCAATTTGCCAAGAGTTGAAATCAGTAACGTTTCTTTTACGCGTAGATAAAATAATAAATACTGCGTTGTCCATTATTATTATTTTTTATTGCCCAGTAATTGAAAACCAATTATTTAAAAACCACGAACAATGCATTATTTTTTATCAGTAGCTGCAACTTTGGGGAAAAATCTAGATTTTTTTTAACGTTTCAACAGAAACATAAAAAATAATTTCGTTTTTTACCGAATTTTAAGTTAATCTCTCACCGTTAGCGATATTCATTAATTTTCCAGGTATGAGTGCATTTCCTTGAACAGAATAAATGTAATCTTGCACTATTCGCTGCACTTTCAAAATCTCAAAAAGAACGATTTTGATAAAATATTCGAATCTTTTAGTCGAATGACGACGATTTTTTCGAACATAATTTTCCAATGTAAATTCGATTTTCGAAGAAACTCGATATGTCGATTCATCAAAGTATTAGATCTTCTTTAGGGTGGATTGTTCCTAAGAATTTCTCATGCAGATCGTTTGCTTTGATCACTTCAACTCTGATATTAGCGAATGCGTAGCGTCATAAATAAAACTATCAGACGGCTATTTGGCAATGTTACTGAAAAATCGAAATGGTGCATTTCTACTCGAACGTATATTGATGCGGCTGTTGAGCAGTGAAGCATCCTATCTCTTTTCACGAATCAAAGTAACTTTGGCGAAGCCGGCTGCAGAGCTCATTCGCGCCTTGCAATCTGATTACGCGGATAGCGAAACTTGGATTAAAAGGCTTTTCAAGTTACCTCACCTAGTAAATCTCACGTGTGCGCCTTCTATCGGGGGAGGAAAGAATGAAATATTTATGAATGTGAAACAAGCGAAAACTTGGGCAGCAGTACAATGCACCGCCTTCCTCGTTTCTTTTTCATTAAAGATTGCTTTGCCGTGAAATTCCGATCGCGCGCCCGCTCTCCGCTGCTCCGCCCTGTGCTTTGTGCAACTTGATAAAGTTTATCACTCTCTCTCTCTCTCTTTCTCGCTTGCCCCACCCCCGTCCCCCGCCCCTCTTTTGAACTTTTTCATCAAAACTTTTCCGCTCTTTGACTCTCTCTTACTTGTGCGGTCTTCGTGTACATATAACCCCGAGACTGCATCGCGCGGGTAAGGACTTTTTATTCACTTTCTTCTCTGACTATTGTATTTGCGTTCGGCGCTTTCGACCTGGCCACTTTAATGCTCGGTCGCGCGCCGTTATCGATGTGACGACCGAGAGAGTCCATTTGACAATTCCGAAAACCAAAAACGCTTTCCAAGCGAGGCATCCGTTATTTTCGTAAGGTAAGAAATTCTATTGATAGACTGTGCCCTCGTCAATAATTCCATTTACAAGGGAGAGTGCACTCCTACTCTCTTTGAAATTTACCACCGACCCCTTCTTTGCTCACCTTCCATTTCCATTAGAAATTGCGCTTTTTCCGTCTTTTCTTTTTTGTCAATCTTTTTCTTCCATTAAGTAGCATCTGCGCGACTAAAGGCTCGGTGGCCGTTAAAGTTTTCTATATATACTACGCTACAAAGAAGCCCCTCGCGACGCGCAGGGAAGAGCCGTGGAAGGAAGGAAGGAAGGAAGTTGCCGAAGTGCTTGAAAACACTTTTATTTTACAGAGGGGCTTACGTTTTCTTTTTTGTTTCCTTCTCTTCCTTCTTCTCTCGAGCATTTAGCGCGAGCTATTTCTCTCCCCTTCCTTTATACCCGATAAACATCGAGCGGCGTATTACGCTCTCTCTCTCTCTCTCTCTCTCTCTCTCTCTCTCTCTCTCTCTCTCTCTCTCTCTCTCTCTCTCTCTATCCTTGCCCCCGAGCCGATGTTTATTGCTGCGAGGACGTTGTTATTTCGCCGAAAGAGCGCAACTTTGCCGCTAAGAGCCCGCACGTTCTTCCTCGGCGAATAAAAGTTTCGGGCGATCGTCGCGTCAAAAAATCTGTGCCCCGGTGCTCCTTTTCTCCTCCTGCCCTCCTGCCCTGTCCGCGGTGGCATCGTTAACTTGGGCCAAGTTTAAATTGTAGAAACTTTCCCGGGCCGCGCTTCAGTTTTCATTCCGATGGGCGCTGAGCCTTTTCTAGAATTAGAAATTTATACGCGTGCGATTATTGCCGACTTTACGCGACGGTATATTACGCGACGTGGGCGTAAAGAGCATCGAGTGCCGCGCGTTCAATGAAATTGCAGTACAAGTTACGAGCGAGGCGAGCTTTTTTCAACGTACGTCCCCAAGCGAGATGACTTTCGCCCATCGATAGCCGAGACCGCATCGAACGGCAGTAAGAGTAATCAGAGCGATCCGATGCCGCTTGGTGCGGGCGAATAACGCGAATAGCTGGAGCGAATGGCTAAAAATTCGAAAATTATGGCTGAAACGTCCAATCACCGGGGGACACGAAGATACTGAAGCAAGAAAACAAAAAATAATATTCCATGTCAGTCCATCCCGGCAGCATCTTTTGAATTTGCTAAAAGCTTCTCTTCCCGGCCCGCGTACACCCGAAATTCCATCAATCCATCCATCCATCAATTTGCCGCTAGAAGCCACCTTCATCACCCGCGATAATAAACTTGGTTGCTCTCGCTCGCTCGTGGTACGGGGGGATGGGAGGAAAACAATCTTGCCGCAAGTCACCTCTTGGCGTTGCCGTGAGCAGGACGCACGCGTATTGATCGCAGCCGGAGAGAGAGAGAGAGAGAGAGAGAGAACTACGTCAAACCTCGTTTCGTACGTGCGGGGAGCGGATGGCTTTACGTTGCTCCTCCCCCCCCTGCTTTTAGGGAAGAAGCGCCCCTTCGCCCTCGCCGCCCTTTTAAAACACGACACGGCAGACGAGCTCGCTTCCCTAATGATTACCTTGACGGAAACTATACCTTGAGTGCTCTACTCGCATCAGCGAGGGCTGCAACGTCGGAGGCGAAGCAGGCGCACCACACCGCGTCGGATTCCTCGGTTATTTTCCTTGGTCAACTTTAATCTCTCGCCGGCCATAAGCGACGACGGGAGAAAAAACTCTCCTCCGTCGCGGCGAGAAAGCGGAAACCGCAGGCGCCTATCCGGCACCGACGGAGAGGAGCGAGGAGAGCGCTCGCGCACCTTTGCTAAAACAATATGCCCGAAGCGCGGGCGCGCGACTGCGAGGACAAACAGCAAGCCGCAAAACAGCAACGAGCGGTAAAAAAAAAAAAAAAAAGGAAAAGAAAAAAAAAAGCCGAAACCACCGCGCTGCCGCGCATTGTCTCGTTTGCGCTTGGCTACAGACAAAGGAATCCGCGTTAAAAAGGACAATCGATACGTTATTCAAAGCGTTCGTTTCCGTGAAAAGTCACACGAGTGGTTTTTTTTTCTATTATTTAT